CTCCTCGGAGCCAAAGTCGTCGCCGTCGAAGCCGGTTCGCGTACACTTCGTGATGCCGTCAACGAAGCGCTACGAGCCTGGGTTGTCCATCTCGATACCACACACTACGTGATTGGTTCTGCCATTGGACCCCATCCTTTCCCCACTATCGTCCGAACACTCCAATCCGTCATCGGCGAAGAAACCAAAGAACAAATGCTAAAGCTAACTGGCAGATTACCCGATGCTGTTGTCGCCTGTGTAGGTGGCGGTAGCAACGCGGTCGGCATGTTCTACCCCTTCTCCAATGAACTCAGCGTCAAGCTCCTCGGCGTCGAAGCCGGTGGCGATGGCACAGACACCACCCGACACTCCGCAACGCTTTCGCACGGCTCTAAGGGTGTCCTGCACGGTGTGCGTACCTACATCCTGCAAGACGAACATGGCCAGATTTCCGACACCTACTCCATATCTGCAGGGCTTGACTATCCCGGAGTTGGACCGGAGCTTTCGTCGTGGAAGGACCAGTCCCGTGCCACGTTCATTGCCGCAACGGATGCGCAAGCGCTTCAGGGTTTCCGGCTGATTACTGAGTTGGAGGGGATCATTCCCGCGCTCGAGTCGTCTCATGCGGTGTATGGAGCTGTGGAATTGGCGAAGACGATGAAGAAAGGGGAGAATGTTGTGCTGAATTTAAGTGGAAGGGGTGATAAAGATGTGCAGAGTGTGGCGGAAGCATTGCCGGAGTTGGGCCCTAAGATTGGCTGGGATTTGAGGTTTTGAAGGAAGCAGAGGATAGTTCATACAGCTTTTTACCTTTCGGATGAATTTTGTCTGTTCGGCTGATGGGACAAAAGGGAAAGGAAAAGCTTTTTGGATTGATGGAAGGGGTCTCGCCGTATAAATATATAGCTACGTCAGCATTTTCTTCTCGTTGTTTTGCTTGTAACTACATCTATATGTGCAAGCTAATACGTCTTCTGTCTTTGCTAGACAACATGTACATTATGAGTACCATAACCTAAAATATAATGATTTTAAATATATGTTTTAAGTGTTACATCTACATGCATAGCTAACTATATTTTGCTATGCATAGTGTAGATATAAGTAGACATAGAGCAGCAGAATCTATTTGCAACCAAGAGGATGGATGCGTTAAACTTGGCAGAAAATGTGTTGCAGGTCGCAAGTAGGGCGTAAGGTGTCGAATTTACCCAGCAATGGGATCAAGGATGAATTTCGCTTAACTCATATTCGAAAACAAGCATAAATAACCCTTTTATCTAACAAAACCACTCTTGTTTAAGATTTTTCCTGAGTCTGATAAGAAATTAAGGACATGGTCTTTATCAGTGCTGGTTATCATTATTTGAGACAGCTATCCAGGTAAATCGCTGTGACTAGAGGAAAATTCGCCGGCGCCCGCCAATCATGTTGGGAGCATGGGACAGAAGAAGGCCATGGAAGTAGGATACTATCTTCATCTCCCGTTCCTCTTTTTCTCTTGGAGAACCTAAACTTCCATGCGGTCAGGTGAAGGCGGGGAAGATACCTCATTCACGCACTGTATCCACGTACACCTTAACTTCTCTGGCTGAAAACTTATAGGGGCACCAAAAAGTCAGTCATCATATTAACGAGCTGTGACAAACATTCATTGCCTAATACAGTTATAGTAAATTCTGGGATATCTAGCTCTCGAACAAAAGATGAAGTGAGAAGGCAGGAAACGTGGTGATTCAGGCCCTCCATCTGCCCCCGCAGCATGCATAATTTCATTCAGATGGCGAATCAGTATTGAGAGGGCTAACCGACCATCTCTGTATTTGTTTTATACCAGAGCATCCCATAAAATATTGAGTGGCATGATATAGTTTGGGTATCAATGATCTTGGGATGAGCTTGAAAATGATGTTCAGAAAAGCTTGATAGAAGCAACCTCAAAATGCTGGCTCTGAAAAGCCTGCTGAACGTTTAAGGAATCATTCTGAAGAGCTATCACTTATGCATTCTGTTGTTTCTTCCCAGAATAACCAGGTAGATGCGAAGATGAAGTTAAGTGCAGCAAACATTGAGTTAACTAAAGAAATTATATAAGTGTTGATGAGCATCGCGTATGTATCTATTCCTCTCGTTAACATTTGCCTTCACCTGAGGAATTGATTACTAAACTCCATATGCGGCCCGACTATTTCTCCGTCAAAACACTGGCCTGAAAAGAACATCACGTGCCACATCTTCAAGTCGAAGCTTGGAGGAGATGACCGCATCCGAAAGACTACGAACGACAACATCTATACAACTCCTCAGCGTATCCAACCCCCCCTCTGCTCCAATACCTCCCTCTCCTTTGCGGGCCTGGCTATCAGTCTCAGCTTCATCTCAGCCCTGAAGCCCCTACAAGCGAGCTTCGAAGAAAGAGCGCAACCCGCAATCATGGGTCCAGGAATTAACGACCCCCGGATGATGTCCGTCAATCCTCGAATTCGATACAACACAATAGGAGGCATCAATGGACCCTTGGTTATTCTTGAAAATGTATGTCCTCGCTTTGTTATGGTGTTTGTAATATACCGGTTTCTGACGTAGTTAATTCCCGCCGCCTAGGTTAAATTTCCCCGCTACAACGAGATCGTGTCCCTGACGCTTCCCGACGGAACGGAAAGATCTGGCCAGGTTCTGGAAGCTAGAGGTATGTAGCGCACCCCTTTATATGTATTTCTAAGGCTACCTGGACGCTGACGTTAAATTATATTAGGCGACAGGGCTGTTGTTCAGGTGCGTATGCGGTAGAAGAAAACGACGTTTTATATTATTAATATGCGATTGAGTTATTGACTTAAGATGTAGGTGTTTGAAGGGACACCTGGTATTGATGTAAAGAAGGTATGGTCGCCACCTAAGTGGAGTGTGTTCCTGGTCGATACATTTGCTGATTCTCTCCAAGACCAAAGTCGAGTTCACAGGCCACAGTCTCAAGCTTGGGGTTTCAGAAGACATGCTTGGACGTGTATTTGATGGATCCGGACGTGCGATCGATAAAGGCCCTAAGGTCCTCGCGGAGGATTATTTAGACATCAATGGCAGTCCAATCAACCCATATTCTCGAGTGGGTTCAAACAATTCCCAACATAATAGGACTCTAAGACTAAAACGCCATACCAGGTATACCCAGAAGAGATGATCTCAACTGGTATCTCAGCCATCGACACAATGAACTCTATTGCTCGAGGACAGAAAATTCCCATCTTCTCTGCAGCTGGTCTTCCACACAATGAAATTGCTGCACAGATCTGTCGTCAAGCCGGCCTAGTACACAAGCCCAGCAAAGACGTGCATGATGGACATGATGAGAACTTCTCCATTGTCTTCGCCGCTATGGGAGTTAACATGGAAACCAGTCGTTTCTTCACCCGCGATTTCGAGGAGAACGGCAGTATGGAACGTGTTACACTCTTCCTTAATCTTGCAAATGACCCAACGTAAGAACTCTCACTACACCCCGAGAAAAGCATGAGGCTCACATCTAGCGGCTCAGGATTGAACGTATTATCACTCCTCGTCTAGCTTTGACTACTGCAGAATATTATGCCTACCAATTGGAGAAGCACGTTCTGATTATTTTGACCGATCTTTCTGCGTACTGCGATGCTCTGCGAGAGGTTTCTGCAGCCCGAGAAGAAGTGCCAGGTAGACGCGGATATCCCGGTTACATGTACACTGATTTGTCGACTATTTATGAGCGCGCTGGACGTGTCGAAGGCCGTAACGGTTCTATTACCCAAATTCCTATTCTGACTATGCCTAACGACGGTATGTTTGCTTTCTACAGTGAGAATGTCTCTGTACATTCGGACATCGCTAACACCCAACATCTAGACATCACTCACCCAATTCCGGATTTGACTGGTTATATTACCGAAGGCCAAATCTTCGTCGACCGCCAGCTCCACAACAAGGGTGTTTACCCACCAATTAACGTGCTACCCTCACTCTCCCGACTTATGAAGTCTGCCATTGGTGAAGGTCGTACGCGGAGAGACCATAGTGACGTATCTAACCAACTCTATGCTAAATATGCCATTGGCCGTGATGCCTGTATGACTCCTTATATCGCCAATTTCTGAACAATAATTGATATAAAATGCTAATTAAATAATTTTACAGCCGACATGAAAGCTGTCGTTGGTGAAGAAGCCCTTTCTGCGGAGGATAAGCTCTCTCTCGAATTCTTAGATAAATTCGAACGAACTTTCATCTCTCAATCACCCTATGAATCCCGCACTGTGTTCGAATCCCTGGACTTGGCGTGGAACCTCCTCCGAATTTACCCCAAGGATTTGCTAAATCGTATACCCAAGAAAATAATTGATGAGTATTACCAGCGTTCCGGCAAAGGACGTGCCAAGGGGAATAAAGATACGAGAGACAACACAGCAGGAGAGTCTAACTTGATCGATGTGTAGCTCTAGTCGATTCGAGTATTGACAGGTATATAGATGGGCAGTTGAGATTTTGTTTCGTTGTTTTTGGATAATGGATTTTATGAATGACTTGAGAGCTAATATTTTCTAAACTACGAAATTACGCTTCCATTGGGTTCATATTTGTGTATTGTTTCCTGTTTAATACATCTGTCATAATTATAGACAGGTGGTTCTGGAAGAAACACAGATCTTGATTTCTTCTACTTTTTTCATCATTTATTCCCATTTCGCCATTTTCCTTTTCTTTGTGTTCTCATTTATTTCATAGCAATAGCACTGGGTTTTTCCTTTTTTTTAATGCGGGTTGGGGGAATCGGTTCTCAATATTTGTTTGCTACGTGCACCAACTCCTTAACGGGGGTATTCTCAAATGACGAGAACCATAGAACTGAAAGACTGAGGGCGAAAGTGACATTTCACGCCCTGTACTTCATATACATCCCAAACGACGTTTCCATCGAACAATCTACCCTCACGCACGAACTAGCCGGCATGTCCTGCGTATGATAGCGTCAGGATCTGACTTGCGTTCTAGAGATGCCTTTCCCATTTCCGACCTCTCTCCTTTGGCGACGACCACTCAGACTCGTCCTTATACAGAACACCGTTAATAACCACCCCTTTTCCTTCCCTCAGCATATTTTTCTGCTCCGTCGAGCACGTGTCCTCCACCGCGCGCACATAACACGTTGTCGCCGCCATAGGTGGCGCATCATTCGTCTTGGTTGCATTTGCTGGTCCCGTCGTGTGGAACGTGGATAGATCGACCTTGGCTCCACTAGCTATATCCCTCCCACCACCAACTATGCGAGAGAACAGCGTGAAAACAGACTCCGGCTGAGAGGCTGGCACAAAATGGCCCGCATCATAGATTCGCATGAAGGATAAATTGCCTAGTTGGCGCACTACTCCACCAACGTAATCTTTGCCTGATGCAGAATTGATGACTAGGGGCGCGTAACCAGCGATATTTCTAAATGCATCTTTATCACGATATGCCGCTGGGGAGTTGGAAGAAGATGCAATGGCTAATGAAACAGCCTCACCACCCATCCAGTTGCAGACGTAATCACTGTCGCCGTAGATGAGGGCCACCCGGACCCCGGACGCCAACAGGGAAGCCAGCTCCGGAACGTACGACTTGCGTAGGTAGTCACCCGTCGATATAAAGGCCGAGCGAATTACATCGCTGCTGCTTGTATAGTTTAGCGGGACACCTAGCGCAGCTTGAACTTTAGCTGTGTTGAGGTAGGTGACATGCGTGAGGGAGGCAAAGGTGGACAATGGCGACTGTGTGATGTCGAACCCGCTCCGGTTGAATCTATAGAATGGGCTCAGAATGTCACTGTTACAGACGTTCATTGCTGAGAAGCAGAGGGAGTTTACGCTCTCGACGTCACCATTCCCAGCGGGATCGAGAGATAAAGCTGCCGACCGGCATGAGATGATCCGTTCCTTGCACCCATCGGGCTTTTGGAAGGCAGCGAGTGAGGTTAACATTTCTGTATGAGAAATGGCTTTGATGCCGTAGGTGTTGTTGTGGGCGAAGATTGGGTAGAAGGGGTCTTGTATGATATCATCAATGCAGCCCTGGAGGATCCCCAATGATTGCAGATTTATTTCCACCGTATCTTTGTGGGTGAGTAAACCGCTTCTCCGCGCTTCATTTTGCTCTTTAAAATATGTTGCAAAAGCTGGGCCATACTTCCCACCGTAACTTTCCGTGAAGAGATGGATACCAGCAGTGGAACCAGAATTTCTACCTCCAGTGCCAGGGTTATACAGTGGGAATTCACTCAGGAATCCCTGTAACATATGCCAAACAGCCTTAGCTGCAATCGCCGTTGTGTTTGACGTCGCGTCAGCATCATGAGAACTGAATGTGCCATTGAGAAAGGTTTCTTCCGCCTGTTTAGCAGGAACAGGGGACGGTGGGAAATTATACGACGAGGATAACAAATCCAACGATCCGTTGCGCAAGTTATCAAATGATAGCCCAACTTGAACGGGTTGATCTATAAACAGCAAGTTGGACGCCCGATCCCAACCCCATTCCCGAGCGCGAGTACATATTTGAACCGGCGAGGTCTCAATTGCCTCACATGGCCCAATCTCCTGGAATAAGCCAGTCAAGGAACTCATCCCTGGTCCTCCATTTAGATAGATGGTAAGAGGCGCCGAGTCTGCGTTATGTCTCCTTTCCACGAACCAGAAGAAAGTATTGATGGGGTAGTTCTGCTGGACGGCAGAGAGTGTAGATGGCGGCAGGTGAACGTAGCCGGTATATTGCTTTTGATGTGGCAAGGAGGTTGTACAAACCCACGCAGGCAGGGTTTTGTACGAGATGGTGATATTGCCGTCTGCTGGAGAACGGATGGTTTTCATATCCAGATCATTTTCTGTATTTGGTACGAGTCGTGCCGAGGAAAATGAGAGGGTTGTATAAAATAGAGCGAGAGCCCAGCGTGGAATGAGTTTCCATCGCGCCTGGTGAAAAGTTAGTTGACATCTGTGGATTAAGTATCGATATGCAATTGCGAAGCTGATGTATTAGAAAAGATTTACGAAGAACTACAACGAATCTTACCATTGGACAGTATTTTCACTCCTGTGTGGTGTAGATTTCTACACGCTTTGCTGCAACTCCAGGATCTTCATTTTAAACTGAATCTGCAACCCAGATTTACAACATCCTGAAGTGCAGATAGATACTTAAGGAAATAGAAACGAAAATGAAAACGGAAGCCTCAAAAGTTCTCAATTCCAATCTCTTCTTCATGTTTGAACATACGGGAAGAATACACGGGGCGATAAACAATGCCAAACGAAATCCGAAGAAGAAGAGAGTTTAAAGGGGCTTTTGTGAACAATTTCAGTCACACACATCGGAAAATTAATTAATAATGAAAGAAAGGTCCAGAAGATAGAAAAGGTACTAAGCGCTCGCTTGCATAATTTCAGCTTTGGTCGTTGCAGGATTGCAAACGCAGGACATCTTAATCAGAGAAATTAAATGAACTCCTGCAGACGGAGAGTTCTGCCTTGCAGCTGCGCAGTAAACAGGAGACACATTTTTCTGCATAGTTCTTAAGCAAAATAAGGCCCTGGAGAGATTGATTTTGACTTGATCAATGAAGATACTGAATGTAATTTTGGAGGTTAATTATCATACTAAGTAGTCCATGTTATGGACTACTATCCAGCTCCCCCGTAACATTGAATATTTTAATGCCACTCTAAATATGAGTGATTCATTTCTTCGATAGTTAAGAATCGCGCAACTAATTCTATAAATCCCTTCTCTCTCACTACCTAGGTATACTTTGATACCTCTTCTGCTGCTCTGTGACAATTCCAACCTCACCCTAATCCCAAGACTGAGAACGCCTTCGCAAACGCTGAATGGGCTATGCTTGACGAATGAACTACGTTAGTTGAACCGAACACATTTCACCACGAACTTGGTCGGCCACTTTGTGCCATTACACAACCTCTAAGACAAAGACAAACACACCAAGGTAATTTCTCATACTCAATTAGCGTGATAATAACAAAGTGACGAAAGCGTTACATTGATTGCATAGTTAACTAGTTAGTTCCGTACGCTGCATAATCTTTAGTTATTCTAATTCAGTTCATGATTCAACACTTATAAACAAAAGTTCATCCAATCGCCAAATGCAAAATCCATTAAAATTCCTCCCTCGTTCCACGTATGGATCCTCACCGTGCTCATCTGCAAACTCTGCAGTTTCAGGAACATGCGAAAATATTCTAAACCGCAAACCCAAAAGAAAAAGGAAGGAAAAAAACCCCCCAAAACACCGTAACTTATGACTTTCTCTATTTCTCTAAATGTTCTGCAGCTTGCCAAACGATGCCTACTTGACGTCCCGTGGAGCAAATTCGTATCGCAGACAGCCGACGTCAAAATAACCGCCTCTACCCTCATTTCCTTTGCCTGTAACACAAGGGGTGTTAGTCGATATAAATAACTCGTCATGGGCAGGCGAATTGCGCCTCTGTTCCTTCACGAAAGCCCCTGGAAAGGTACGGTGATGAAGAACGACTTACACTCTGTGTACGACTTCTCCATCAATGACTTGCAGCTAGCCTTATCACCCTTTACAGGATTGAGAACGTTCATCTGCGTAACTGTGCTCTTACAGTTATGGAGCCACGTGATTGCATAGCGATATGGTATTTTCCCAACTTTTTTATAGAAGACGATGGGCTTGTCGCCTTGTTTCATAGTCTTGCGCGGGATTTTACCACACACCTGTGCAATAAGAATATTTTGCACGAATCGGCTTACATCGCCTTTCGTTGTGAACTGGTGCGCACCATAACACACTGGGCTTTTTGGCACCGCTGGCTCTTTCGGCGGATCTTGTTTTGGGGTCTCTTGAGGTTTCGTTGGCACTAGCCTTGGCGGCCCGCGCAAGGAATAAGAGTAGACTCCGCATCCCACGTCGATTTGACCCTCGACAGTCATCTGGTTTTGCTTTGCGCCTTGGTGGCCGCCTACCGTTACAACTTTAGCATATACATTTCAGCTTTGACGGTAGGCTTCTGTCAAATGAAATAATCACGTAAGACTTACATTCAGATCTGGCGAGCCGGGAATACGCCTCATCACAGCTCGCGGAACACCTCCCGCCAATCGTTTGTCTCCATGTGTACTGGATAGTGATGTCTTTCCAGGTATGGGGGTTTGGAGGAGGGGTTCTCTTTGTCAATGAAAATGGATAGCCGGGGTTGTTGGGGTCTTGAACGGTGAGAGGAGAGGTCTTTATATTGCCCTTCGAGTTGACATTCAATCGTACAGGACGCCCAGGATTCCTCTGTCTTTTCACTATTCTGCAGAAATTCTTATGGGTAAGGTCGAACGCATTGAATGGATAGGAGGATACCCATTTAGTGTCGCATTTCTGCTTCGGCTTCCCTGGCGGCTTCCCTGGCTTCGGCTTCGGCTTCGGGCGCTTAGCGCACACTTTCTCACCGGCAAGGGCTCTGAACAAAGCCAGAGCTGCGCGAGAAGCAATGACACCATGTCCGTATTCGGTAGGATGAAATACTCTGCCAAGGGCATCCGGAAGTCGCTTCTGGATATCATGTTGATTCTGGCCGGCAGAGTTACTATCTGATGCGATTTTCTTCTTCTGGCTAGGGATGAAAGGTCGCGAAGTACCGTACATGTAAAAAATCTGCTTCTTCTGAACCGGTTTATTTTCACAGAATCTTCCTTTGGTTTTAATTCCGAAATCGTCCCACTCCACCTTCACGATTTTGACATGTTTGTTGTCGCGGCTGACGTTGTCAATGGCTTTTGAAATTTTCGCGTTAGCGTCTTGCACCAACTTGTTCAGCTTCCTGCGTCGACCTTTTGTCATCTTTAGGCCGCCGCCCCCGTCTAGGAAGAAATTGTTGAGAATACTCCAGCTTTGCTTATCGCAGGGGTTTGTTTCTGAGTTGAAGAAAGTTCCGTATAGCGTATGGAGGACAACGCCATTATTCTTCATCTTCTCGACCAACTTCTTTAAGAGCCCTTCAATGTTCCCTTGAAGTTTCTTGTCAATTACTGCCCGTGAGGCTGCCATCGCCTTGCTACATGCATTTTCATTCGACGGAAGAACAACGCAATTTCGCAGGATCTCTGATAACAGAGCGTCGTTCCCCCCGGCAGACAGCGTAACCAAATTTTGCGATTTGTCCTTCAGGGAATCAACTTGCTTTTTGATTTCTACCGATGTATCTCCAGAGCAAGCCTTGAATTGGAAGTTGTGTTTTCTGGGAGATAGGCTCTTGAGAACATAACCATATGCTCCATCATAACGCGAGCACTTCGCGTCTCCCTTTCCTTTCAGAACTTTCCCCGCCCCTATACCTGCGGCGTAGCTATCCCCAAGGATAGCAATATTTTCAAACCTCTTCCAGGGAATTACCTTGCCTAATCCATCAAGCAGCCCAGGATGGTCGCGTGCTGCAGCCAAGTTGGAAGTCAATAAGGACCAGGCCAACAGCGTGGGAACTATGGTAAAGATCATCGCTTCCTGCGTAACCTCCGCCGTTAAGCGAAACGCAGTGAGTGTGAGGGGCAATCCAGAAAGGACTAATGTGCAACACGATGCGGTATCTAAGTGTGCGAAATCATAAGAGAGCAGAAATGAGAATAATTTATATGAAAATGAGGACCAAACAATGGGAAGGCCGAATTCGAAGTTCGAATGCGAGGTTCGGTTTGGATGTTGGAATTGTATAATCGGATTTGATAGTCGAAATGTAAGGGGGAAAACAACGTCCATGACCTTCATCGAGGTGGTTTATATTTCGAATATCTTCCTTCCAATATGACATCGATAGCCTTAATTATGACCAAACAGCTCCATTTCCGCTTACCCATTCCCAAAATAGATAAACAAGCATTTAGTGACGGCCAACCTCCTCGTTTGCAATCACTCCGCTTTCCCAGGAGCAAAGACAAGGCCCTTGGTGGTCACGAAAAGCTTAGAAAATTATCCGCAATTAGTAGAAAGCCCGTTTCTGGTGATAAAATTACAGCCGACCGTTCTGCTTCTCGTTGAGTTCACGAATCTCACCAAAAGCGCTGCTCCGGGGGGTTGGGCGGGCGAAGACGGGGCGCCGGAAGAATACCAGGGCGGGCCAAGAGGTTAGTTCGGGGAGATTGATCCTGGACAACTCCTCACTCTCTCCCGATACCCCTTAATGGATAGAAACAAAAGTGGCTATTATTAGGTTAATGGGCCTTTCAGAGGTGACAACTCGGCCCTGTGAGAGTATTCATGGATTTGCCAGACCGATTACATGAGAGTGGACAGAATGTTCCCAAAAAATTACCAATTCTACCTTCCGATAATAGGATACCATCTATTATTAAATGTTAGTTCTTCTCTTAGCAACTTGAGTGTTTGGAAATCACATCCCTTTGGCTCGGCAATGTCGAATGCCGTCTTTCCCTCCCCATTCCTATGACCCCCATCCGCACTACGTTTGAGCAGCAGGTCAACAAGTACAAGATGGTTACCTATTACCGCTGCATGGAGTACGGAACCATGGCCAAAGCGATTGTGTTTTGGCGGGTCTGTGGCTGGTGTCGCTCCATGCTTCAATAGTAATGTAGCCACATCCCAATGACCAACAAAAGTAGCCATTTAAAGTGCACTTGTATGGCGCACATTGGAACCGCACTCCAAGAGAAGTTCAACCAACTTCCGTAGATCCACCATAGGTAAATGCAGCGCCGGCTAGCGGGAACGAGAAGAATGAGGATTCCGCATTTGGGTTCGCTCCATAAGATAAGAGATAGGAGATAAAGTCGAGGGGCTGCCCTGAAACTGAATCTATTGATAGAGGTGGTCCCACTCTGTCAAAATGCGTGTTTGCAATAGTGGGATCCTTTTCATAGAAGGCTTGGTACAGTGGGATGTTGCATATGTATGTGGCCCTGCAAATGATCGCTTGCATCACAGTAGTGTCCGGATAACGTAAGAGAAGATATCTCACTAATTCAGCATTGTGTGAAGCAACAGCTGCAGTAAACATCTCGTTGATAGAAAACCACGAAGGCTAGCCCCGTCATCGTTAGAGCATTGCTGGACGAGTTGGTCGTCTATCGAATCCATGGTCAGTGGGAAACGTGTTGAGAATAGAAACATCTGTGACAAGTTTGCAAGAAGCGATGAACGACTTGACCAGAGTCTAGTGGACTTACAGGGAGTTTGGTTTTGAAAAGTGGCCGGAATATCAGTTAGCGATGGACGTTGGATGTTTTATCTCACCTATTAGTTATCTGGTTAATTTTTTTACCCGCGCCAAGTCCTAGCAGCGCCACTGCCCAGCCAGAATAAGCTCACAGATACGGTGAGATTCTTAAAATTTGAGCGTGGATTGACTTTCAGTGAGTCGCCGCATAACTAGGTATGAATCCAACAGGTTCTGTTAATATTAAATATTCAAAAAGATTTGGACAGGGATTAAAGGATTACACTGTTTTCTGACATCAAATAAGTAGACAAATCATGAACGATACGGCTTCTCAGCAGTGTAAATAGCCGTGTAACTAACGGTGTATGTAGTTGATGAGGAAGCCCCGTTGTCAAAGTCGGAGATTTTAATAAAGGTGAAATTTTGGCGCCAGTTGCGTGTAAACTATAACAAGGTCGGACCCACTCTTCCTGTGTCAGAATACGGAGTCCAAAGATCTGACCCCTGGCCCACATAAACTGAACTATAAAGCTTTGGATGCTTGTTGAGTTTGGTCAAAATCGTTGGAGTAACTATATGCTACTCCGTATGCATTTCGCACATCCATCCGTGTTCATACAACAATAACAATTTCTTTCTTTTCTATTCTTTTCTTTTTTTTTGATCTCCTCGTGTTCAGATAAATCAAAAATAATAGGATGCTCACTTTGATAGTTTCTTGGGAGTATTTGAACCCAAACAATTGGATGACCTTAAGTTTGCAGTAACATAACTCGCCAGATGAGGTCACTTTATTTTCCATAAGCCAAAGAGGGAAGGGCTGCACATCAGTTAGCAACACTTACAATAGTTCACTAGGAGAAGAAACACTTAACATTCAACGAGATATTTTTAACGGAGCTATCAGTATCTCCCAATAAACAAGAGCCAATGGCTTTCAATGGTACCGGAATGCCTTCCCCAAGCCCGAAACTACAAGTCAGTCTCACCACATCATTCCGCCTAAAAGCGGGTACTTTCAAACCCAGCCCCAACATCGGGTGGATTTATTGATCCTACGCGGCCCGCTCCCATGGGAAAGCACCCGTGGTGGCAGCGTCAGGGAGGAAGGAGGTGTGTCTTCAGTGGTTCGAAAAAAAAATAGGGATAATCATATCGTGAAATACGAAAATAGAATCCTCCAAAAGCGATTTGCATGGGGGTTCAATATCCCGGAGCTATTCATCTTATTCTTCTCACGAATTCATGGTAGAATACCTATGAAATAACTCATCCCCTGGGTCCCGTAGCCGTTGGGATATACATGTATAGTACATGCATATATAAAGAGAAATCAACGACGTTGCACTCAAGTGGCTGATTTCTTCCAAACCATACCTTTTATTTTTATTTTATTCTTTTTTCCCTCCCTTTTGCAGAACGCACGCACAAATCATGAAGTCTCCCGCCCTCCTCACTTTCATTTTGGCCCTTCTAGTTACGTTCGTAACTCCTTTAGCGGTCCCTCAAAAAAATTCCCTCGAGAAACGAGGGCCATACGATAACGCATGCCCACCCGTAAGAACAATCTCAGGATGGATGACTTACGCGAAAGGCTGGGATGGCTCCAAAGCCGTCTTCTGGACCGCTGATTCGGATGCCAACGACGCGAAGGATTTCGCCAGGCAAATCTGCGGAACATATTACTACGACCTCATGAACGACATGCAGTGGGTCCAATGGGAAGTTGTATGCACCAACCAGGACGAGAAGGCAAAGCTCATCCCCCGCGCTTCCCAAGCGATGGCAATGGCCACGAAAGGCACCGCCTATATCATGATTCAGGAAGGGGCCTTTCACGATAGACCATCGTCGACGTGGTGGAACGTTGAATATCCGGTGCTGCTAAAGAACAATGTAAATGTCATTGCCGTGAATCCTCGGGAGCCTGGCAAGTTTGAACAAAGGCCGTATAATCCAGGAGAAAATCCTCCTCCAGTCAAGATAATCTGAGGTGGCAGAACCATAGCCATATCGCCCGAATGCAAATCGATAGACTTGGTGACGGAGGGTGAGAGGCTAGGAAGGTGGTATTTTTGTATTTTGTCGGTCTATTGCTCAACCAAGGAGTTTGGGGTTTTTTGAAAAGGGAAAACCATATGTCTGAAGATAACATGGTATGCAGGCTTGTGTGCTATGTGAGCGGAAGGTCCGAGTATTTGTTGCATTTTACATTTCTTTTCGGCGGTTATATGGCCTGTTTTGTCCTTATAAGAAGGGTAGTGCATACATTGGCGTTAGAAGCAAGAGGACAGATGAGAGTATATTTTGACAGAGTTATGCAGAGTTCTCTATATAGCCTTGCTGTAAATGGCATATACCATTTCATTACTTCTCAGAACTATCCCGACAATTTCATCCGAGAGGGGACTTACGAGCACTGTCAGACATGTGCCAGCCGTGTGTCCAAACGAATGTTTGTGCTGAGATGGGTAGACCCACTGTTCTTGAGACTCGGTGTTCATATCCTGATATTTCAACTCCATCTAACTCTCGGGTGCTACATAATCCTATTTCTTTTTTAGCTAGGCGACTCTAACCGCTACGGGTGCACTTTTAAGGGGGCTGGTTGGCTTACTCATATGTAACTAACCGACAAGGACACACTCTCGATTTTCCAAAACCTCAATTCTAACTAATATGAAGAATAGTGCCCTCGGAAAATGTTCAAAAAGTGTAGAGTATCTGCGGGAGTTAAACAGAAGAGGTGTTTAACTGTTGGGTGGAAATATGTTGAAAATCAAGAGCGCACCAAGCTAATTTCCGCCAGCGCTTAGTAAAACCAATCAATACGGTTTTTAATTAAACTACTTGTGCTTACTTCCTCATGGCTTAACTAAGGTTTATTAAGCGCAGTCATCCAAATCTTGGCATCTAAAAGCGCTAATCAATAGAGATCTGTCTGTTGATGCCATTTGATGGACATGGATATCCCCTTTTCTTGGAAATCTTGTCATCTTCTGGTAATTCAGCATGGCTGACATAGTCTCTATTTTATGTCAGAATGGAATGCTCGTAGGGACAGGGGCGGTATCTCAGCGCACTCGATCCTCTCCATCTTGTATGGGCAAGTTTCTCACCTATATACCTTGATTTTTCGCACTCAAAAAAAAAAAAAAAAAAAAAAAATATCAATATCCTAAAAACGAGAAAAATATCTGTGATGGGCGTGGCCTCAAGTTACGTCGAGAATTTAAGGGATTGTATATAGAAGTACGAGTTTATACAACCTTGAATGCGGCCTTAATGTTTGCGAGGTTGGCTCCCTTATACAGACAGATCTTAATAAAACGAATGCTAACCAACATTGTTAGGAATGTCGATATGTGGCCCCAGTGCTTGAGAATCCGTGTTACAGGTCACGTCGATTAGGACCCTCACCTTGACCTAGCTTTCCAGTTCCATGATCCTTTTTTTTTTTTTTTTTTTTTTTTTTTTGTCCCAACGTGTGATATGGAGGTTGAGCAACGTCTCCAATTCCATCTCTCGGAATACTGTAACTGTGACCAATATACCCAATATCCCCAATATATCCGTTGGATATGCCATCCCTGTCGAATCAAAGAAAATAAAGAAAACCGCGATTATTGCGATAAATATACTAAGGGGGACTGGGAGCTAGATCTAATGAATATAATGGCTAGTGGATATCAGATCATCAGATCATCAGATCATGAGAGCAGTGAGATTTTTCTTTTCTTTTCTTTCAAATTTTTTTTCTTTTTTTCTTTTCTTTTCTTTTTCTTTTTCTTTTTTCGGTTTTTTTTTTTTTTTTCTTTTTTCGGTTTTTTTTTTTTTTTTCTTTTTCGGAAGAGGCATATCTTCCAAGTTGGATGTATTCACATTCAATCTTTGCTAAATTGACTAAACAGCTATGGTGTCCTTGTGAGCCTCCAACTGCTGCTAACGACCCCTTTCGGTGCTTTTGGTGCAAGAGAAGGCATGATGTCGACACCATATATACATCAGATCCCGCCTGTGTACCTTTCTTCGACGGTATACGTATATTTTTCTCAAGTTTGTCATGTACTGCGCATATTCTAAATACTGGGATCAGATATCATGAGAGCGGTACACTTACTATCTGGCCGATACTGATGCATTTACCACTGTAGTACTTCTAATTTGCCAATCCCCTGCACCGTGTTTTGGCAAAGGATGGCGAACACCAAGCCTTCATACTTCTGTGCTGGACAGGGAGCGCCCAGCGTATTGTTACCCTTGAGGTATTATAAGCCAAATCAAGTGCTATTTGAGATATTTTTTATTGAGTTTGTTAGCTCGAAAAGAAGTGTATGTAAGGCGAGGAATAGTATTGATGAGTCGAGAGAAACCAAATTTTGCCCATAATATCGGAACTCTCCTATATGGAGCAGTTTCATGCCTTAATATATAGGGCTCACGGCTA